CTTTCGATTTTGCATTGAAAAACTTTCCCAAGTGCGTTTTCACTTCTTTAACATTGTTAAAGTTTTTACCTCTTAATGTATGCTCTAACGATCTGAAAAAGTGATATTCCGACAGCGCGAGATCTGGTGAATAAGGTGGATGAGATAAAAGTTCCAATCCAAGCTATCCAACTTTTTCCTGTGTTATTTTTGCAGCATGAGGCCCCGCGGTATCGTGTTGAAGGATTCTTTTTTTGTAATTGACCAAAACAGATCAATTTTTTAAGAGCTCTTGCTTCATTCGCTCGAGTTGTTCACTGTCGCTGTAATGGTCTGACCAGATTCAAGCAATTCATAGTGTATGATTCCTGAAAAATCCCACCACACACAAACAAGGACCTTCTTTATTGTTAGTGATGGTTTAGGTGTCGGAATAGGTGCTTCTCTGGGAGAAAGCCATTGTTTTTTTCGTACAGGATTATATAGCACAGGATTGTATAGCACCCACTTCTCATCTCCAGTTACAATTCGTCGCAAAACGGATCGGTTTCATACCGAGACAAAAGAAACGCGCAGATTGTAGTCCGTTGATCGAGTGCCGTCTCTGTCAATTTATGAGAAACCCAAATTCATTGCCTACATACATTTCCTATGCAATGAAGATGATCCTGAACTGTAGACCATGGACAGCCTTTAGTGACAGATCTTTAGTGATAATTCCCTAATAGTTTGACGACGATCTGAATCCACCATCGCTCTCAGGATATTATCATATAATTTTTGAGGTCATCCCTTTCGTTCAACATCTTCGAGATTCCTATTTCCAATCTTAAACTTTTTAAACCATCTATGACATTTATTTAGTTTTAGAACTTCGCCGTAAGTGTCGTTAATTTTTTTCACTGCTTCGTTTGCCTTTAATCCTTGATCGAACAAAAATAACATACAATGACGTAAATGTCCTTCTTCTATTGTTGGCCTTGACATCTTTCCTTCTTATTAGAACAAAAATTTTATAACTGAAAAATAGAATTTACAACCAAGCTTGACCGTAGCAACAAAACTTACGTGTTTACTAGACCGTGTCTCCACACAAACTGACTGTGAATGAACACATCGAAAAAATGTTGATTACTTTTCGGTTTACCTAATATAATGATCACGTGAACACCGATATGTCGTACGAGCAATTTTATGACTTATGTCGTAAATGTTGGCGACGTAAATACGGATTTGTTACAACAAATAAAGATTGTACGTTACGAAACGGTCGATATAGGAGAGGTTTTCACGATTTTGCTGTGCTGTGATAAAAGAAAAAAGATATTTGTAATTTTTGTGACGTGTGAAACAATAATATGGAAAACTTAAATAGTGTCAAATCGAAAGATAATCTTCAGAAAAGAGAAGATACTGTAAAACAAATTGCTGAAACACGTGAAGTAATTCGTAAGAAACATAGAATGTTAAAAAGCGGTATCAGGGAAGAGGATATTGCATTGGAAAAAAAAATATAAACCAATTGTCGAACCATTAAAACGCATTGTCGAACAAACCAAACCGAATATTATTTCAAACAATACAATTAACAGTGATGGTGATAAAAAAGACAATAAAAATAATGATAATGATAACGATGATGATATATTCACCACACCGATTTCTGCATATTTGACGAAAAAAATTAAACGATTAAATGTTGCATCATCATCATTGTACGATTCGTCAACAGAACCTCAACATACTGACTTGAGAGGGAAAAAACGACAAAAGACGAATGCGACCGTGATGCAATCTCACAATATTATTCCAGAAATAGATACAGAGAAAGAAAAAAATTGTGTTATTGCAACAATATCGTGAAATATCAGTCGATCATCTAGGCCCATTAGGACAACGGTATATAACAAGTCTTCTCAGTGGTGATCGTGAAATCGATTATGTTTACGGTGTATATATCAACAATAAAGGAAATATGGTGTTCGGTGATAAGCAATTCAATATAAATCAGGATGATTCCATTACTTCAAATTGTACTGAATAAGCAGGAATACCAGGTCTATACGAATTATTATTCAAACAACTCTCCGATGACACAATCTTTACAGAAAACGATAAGCAACAATACAAAAATATAATTTTGACAACGAACATCCACAGACGCAAACACAAAGCTCTTATGCCGATTATGGATAATAAAGGATATAAATATAAACACATCATCGCGCCACTAATAAAACACATGGGAGCAGGTAGACGAATAACGATATTGTAAATTCATCGAATATATTACCGATTCGATCAACAATGAAATTATCAAATGTATTACCGATTCAATCAATAATGAAATTAACTGACAATAAAATTGAATATATTCATTGGGATGATCCGAACGAATTGGTAGAACGTTTCAGATTACTCGACGCATCGCGTAGAGCCGGCAACAATGCACATGACAACGAGATCTTATCGATAATCGAAGAGCTCCGCGAAGCTTATTGTCAGTTAGACAACTCGTAAGGATACACACACACATATCAAAATGTTGGTGAATAAATTCGGTGCTTCTCTGAAAAAACACGATAATAGCAACAGTGAGAGTGAAATTCATGACAAATTATATTCTTTGCCATCATACGTTTGTAATAACGCGCTCAATTTAGACATTAATTTCATTATAACGCGAAGAAAAAAAAATACAAAATTTAACCTCCTCAAAACTCGACCCTGATGCGATTAATAAACTTTATATTGATAACGCATTACATATCATAAGGGACAAAATCGATACGTCACAGGCAGTTGTAAAAAAAACTCATTGATGAAATAAGAAAAAAATTGACAAAGTGATCAAAGATATAAAGTGATCGATGAATTGTCTATTAACATAATCTCGCTATTAGTAAATGAAGGTAAAGTACAAGATATCATTGCGGATCTCATAAATAAAATTGACAAAATTTCAATCTCCGTAACCTATTTATTATCAAATGAGAATAGAATACACAGCGTCATCACAGATCTGTCGACTAAAATGTGCGACGTGTTAGAAATTTTGAACAAAGACGTCATCTCAGATCTAACGGTTAAAATCGACGTCATTTCAATGACCGTAACCTCGCTATTGTCGAATGAAAGTATTAGGCGAGATATCATCACGGATTTAACAAATAAAATTGATAATATTTCAATCGACATTGTATCGAATGAAAAAAATGTGCAAAATGTCATCGCGGATTTAATTAATAAAATAACTATAATAAGTGAAGAAATAGAAGTTATAAAACAATCGAAAACGTAAGAAGGAGATAACAATAATGACAATGCAACAATAGCAACAATACAATAATTTGATCTGAGGGAGGAAATAAAAAAAGTACTTAAGGAAATAAAAAGTGATTGAATAAGTAAAACGAAAAAAGAAGAACAGTGTGGAATAATAGTGAAAAATAGATAAAAAAATACATCTTGACAAGTGTGTATGTAAAAAAAAATAAAACAATGGATAAGAGAAACATAAATTATGAAAAACAACAACTCGTTAAAGAATTATACGTACCGGCGCGACGAAATTTTCCACGACGTCACGTTGTGGTTTGTGATTATGACGATCTCTAGCAAGCGGATGTAGTCAAAATGCGTCCGTATGCGAGATATAACAAAGGACATAATTATATATTGACTGTAATCGAGGTATTAAGTAAATACGCGTGGGCATTACCTTTGAAGAATAAAAGCGGAAGTGAAATGGTTACGGCATTATCTTCGATATTACGAAATAGACATCCGAAAAATTTGCAAACGGACGAAGGAAAGAAATTTTACAACAGTGCTGTGCAAACAATGTTAAAAAATATAATGTAAATCATTATTCTACGCATTCGGTGATGAAAGCGTCGGTAATGGAAAGATTCAATCGCACATTGAAAAATATCATGTGGAAAGCCTTTAAACTTAACAGTTCATATAAATGGATTGAAATATTACCGCATTTATTATAGGATTACAATCATCGCGTACATCGAACAATTAATAGACGACCGATAGATGTAACACCCGAAATTGCTATAAAACTCTTATCCACAGTATACAATCGTGTAAAAATTGCCCCACCAGCGAAATTTCGACTTAGCGATCCGGTGCGTGTGAGCAAATTCAAAACGATGTTCGAAAAAGATACACACCTAATTGGTCCACCGAAATCTTTCGCATCGCTAAGATACAACGGACCAATCCTGTAACGTATCTTCTGAAAGATTATCGCGGTAATACAATAACAGGCGGTTTCTATAAATACGAATTATAACGAGTCACCATTTCAGATATTTATCTAATGGAAAAGATATTGCGCAAACGAGGACAACACAATGTATGTGAAGTGATTAGGAATGGACAGTTCGCACAATTCCTGGATACCAAACATTACTACGCTATAATCACACACACACACACACACACACACACACACACACACACACACACACACATCGTGTAGCATGTGTAAAAAATAACCACAAGGCCGTCGCCTGATTCATCGTCAGTGATCAAATTTTATCATCACCGTTATCTCGTGCTAAAAATAACCTCAAGGCCGTCGTCCGATTCATCATCAATGGGTCATATTTATCATCACCGTAATCTCATCGTAGTTTTATCTTTTCCCGACTTCGAATGCATCTGTTTGCATTTGCGGTCGGTGTGTGGTGCATCGTTACAATCGTGGGAGAATTCAACTATGCGGAAATGGCGCTCGAATATTTACAGAAGTATGGCAATCTGAAAACCGACACGTTGTCAATGTCATCAAGAAATATCGAACAAGTCTTACGTTACGCTCTCGGATTATTTCAAGAATATAATCAAATACCCGGACGGGATGAACTAAATAAAATCACATTGGACAAAATGCGCGAACCGCGATGCGGCCCCCAGACCTTTCGAATCGGACGGATCGAGGCAGAAACAATATTTGGCCAAAGAAACATCTCACGTGGAATTTTCATCTCGCCGACGAGGAAACTATGAAAGTGACGCAGGCCGCGTTCGATCTGTGGGCGGCAAATCCATCATTATCTTTTAAACGCATATCTCTGAATCCCGACATACTGTTATCGTATCGCGAGGGCCTTCACATGAATATCGACAAGAAAATTACTGATATGTGCCCGAGTCCTTTAGACGGCCCCGGTGGTGTACTCGCTCACGCATCCTTTCTCAACGGAGATGAAGATTATGTCACGGAGGTACACGTAGATAGAGCGGAATCGTGGCATGTTCAGATTAGTAGAAATCCTCCACGCACGCACAGCCTGTTATACGTAATCGCGCATGAAATCGGACACACATTAGGTTTGCATCACAGCAAACACCAGGATTCGATTATGTTTGTGATCGCGCCCGGTGAAATAAAGTTTCCCATTAGATTGAGCTTAAATGATATTCTTCATATTCGATATCTATATGGTGCTAATTACCATGTTCAACAACAACAACAACAACAAAATATATAAATATATATGATCCGTGTGCCCTGCGAGATCTTGATGTAATATTAATCATAAACAATCGACTGTATATTACATATAAAAAGTACATATGGTCGATTAATATCTACAAAAATACCTATGAAAAACCGATCGTAATATCAGATTACATGCAATTTTTTCCTGACAATTTCACACACTTAACGACTGCATATCAGAAACCCACGGGCAATCTGATGATATTTGCAGATAATTTCATATACGTAGTGTCATATCATAGTTACGAATTAATTCAGAAACTTTCGTTCAACGATTTCGGTCTTCCACCCACAGCCAGAATCAATACCGCAATAAACACTAACAAAGGACGGAGTTTCTTTGCGTACAACGATCACATAGTCGGGGAAATAGACGATTGTTCAACACGAATCATGAGTCATCGTTCATCGACGAGAATGTCCAGGAATACCAACCGGAATAACAATCGCATTTCGATATACGGACGGAAATTCATATTTCGTTAAAAATCATTTTTATTACAAATTTAACGACTATGTCAAACTCGTCACGGCTACCGGTAAGTTCGACCTGCAGATCGTGGGTGCCGCTTGCCCGCAAGACAATTTGATAAAACAATTACGAGACCTGCACGGTCGATTGATCCAAATTGACTCCTTCGCAACGAGAGGAGAAGAAGAGAAGGGGAGGAAACAATAATGTAAGAAAGAAAGGGAGAGAGAAGAATACAACGAACGATCTCGATTCTCCAATAACTCCGCGTAATTTTTTTCTTCCCTTCATTTCCGTCTTAACCGCGAAAGAGAGAGAAAAATCGCGCATCGTAATGTACGAGGTCTGTTCAAAAAGTATTGCGAATTTTGAATTTCCGCGGGTTACGTATATTCGATTTTCGATTTTTTTTGTGGCGTTATGTTGGTACTCATGTCCCTCACTTATGCCGACAAGTTCGGCCATTTTGAATATTCAGTTTATCTTTGACAGCTGTTTTACTAGGACGTGTTTTGGCTCGTCTTCGATTTTTGCCTATTCCAAAAAATGGATAAAAGGATCTAACAAAATTAAGTGCGCGGACGCATTCCGAATGTTGACTGTGGCATATGGTGAAGCTACCTTGGACCGAAGCAACGTTTATCGGTGGTACAAAATGTTCTCAGAGGGCCGAGAAGATGTGAACGACGAAGAGCGTGCCGGACGCCCGAGCACGTCAACAACAGACGAAAACATTGATGAAGTGAAGAAAATAGTATTGGCCAATCGTCGAATCACCGTTAGAGAAGTTGCTGAGGACCTAAACATATCGATTGGCTCGTGCCATTCGATTTTTACTAATGATTTGGGCATGAGACGGGTCGCCGCGAAATTCGTACCAACGCCCCTGCTCACACATCGTTGCTTGTGCGCGAATTTTTGGCCAAAAACAACACACTAATGATGCCGCAGCCACCGTATTCCCCAGACCTGGCCCCCTGTGACTTTTTCTTGTTCCCGAAACTGAAGAGGCACATGAAAGGACGACGCTACGCTACGATTGAGGAGATAAAGACGGCATCGAAGGAGGAGCTGAACAAGATCACAAAAAATGATTTTTTGAAGTGCTTCGAGGATTGGAAAAAACGTTGGCACAAGTGTATAATATCTGATGGGGATTACTTTGAAGGAGACAAAATAGATATTCATGAATAAATAAATAATTTTTGAAAAAACACAAAATTCGCGATACTTTTTGAACAGACCTCGTACGCGTTAATCAACAACGAACGTTCCCCCTCTACCTACAACCGCCAGTCCAACGATGAGATAACCGACACCAGAAAACGAAAGTCACACGACGACGATGACGTTTCAACGGAAGAACCCGTTATAAATAACAACGGTGGTCAGGCATATAACAAAAAAAGTAACAACAACAAATGGAACGAGTGCGTTTTATTATTATTATCGTTTATTAAAAAAAACACTTTTATACCACTACCACCATTTCATTTACTAGAAACGATGAAAGCGTCAACATTTCCGTACGAATCTTAACGAGAAAATATCTACTGACGAAAACGGCTTACAAATTCATCAAAATAGGTATCACGGCGACACTTCCATCCCGTGTAAATGTCGTTATAGGCGACAATTACGGCAAGGAAATCCCACTCTCAACGACCGTGTGAAAAAACCTCCTAGAGCAAGAATCAAACGTGATGTCGAATCTTTGACGCAGCGGCAACAATGTAGGAGGAGGAGGAGGAGATTTTCCAAATAATATTCAAATTGAAAATCTAACGCTACGCTTCGGAAAAATCAATAATCTACCGATACTGACACTGGAAACGTCCACGACTTGTCGCCTGTCCGTATCGCAGACCACCGTTATCAATATATACAAACTCAAATATTGTATAAACCGCATTGCCAACTCACTATGTGCAATTACTAATAACGTCGACACGAAATTACGATAATTTCTCGACATCGCGCGCACAATACCCGATAATGCGAATATCACTAAAGCAATACTAAATAGCGATTCGTTCAATTGAAACAATATAATCGATTGCGAACTCGTCGCCTTGATTTTCAACAACTAAGAAAAATAAATATTAAAAATTTTTTATTTAGCCATATAACTGTTTTTCTTTTTATCCTCTACTATGAATCGAAGATTATTTATAAACAAAGGTTTTTCATCGAATCGGGAATTCCGCAAATAAATGTACACATATTTCTCTTTCTCTCTACTTTTTTTTTTATTTATTCTTTTATACACGAACAATATAGATTATTATCTCTTCTTTCTCTCTCAATTATCAAGAAATAAAACCAGTTGATTCTCTCTCTCTCTCTCTTTTTCTCTCTCGAAAAACCCCGACAACTCTTTCGATTCATCATCATCATAATCATTATCTTCATCATCACGCCTCAGAAGCAATTTTTTTCTTACATTTCGATGCTCAAACAAGAAAATGATTGAATCCTTTTTTTCACATATTTCCACAAAAGTACGAGATTCCATCCTGAAAAAATAAATATCACACACATATATATAATCTTTTTTATATCTCTCTCATTATTATTATTTTTTTTTATACGTATCTCTCAATTATCGAGAAATTGAAACTGTTGTTGATCCTCTAGAACGACTCCGGGCATCTCTTTCAATTCATCAGCTATCTGATCCACCAAACGCCTCATGAGCAATGTCTTACGTTTGCTGCTCGAACTCAGAAATTGAGTTCATATTTTCGTATACTTCCATCAAGTGCGAGGCTCCCGTCCTAAAATATCTTTGGTATCGTAAATTTGAAGACGAACGAGCTCGGTGCTCCTCACGCCCGGTGATTTCACCGTGAGCACGCGTCGATTCTCCACCTTCGCGATATATTGTTGCACGCAATCGCGCGTGATCTCGCGATAATCGTCAAACAATGCACCACTTCCAATCCACCACTTCCTCCTCTTCCCCCATTAACGACCTCCATTGTTTCCTGCTTTTTTTCATCGACAACTCTCTTATCCGTTATCACCAGCACCTTCGTACCAGCATTATCATCGACAGACGCGACTCAATTAGCAGCAGCGGTCTCCATTAGATTCGACACATACCCCTCGTAATAATGATTCCAATCGTAGAAACTCTCCTCCGAGAGAATCCCTTTAACGTAAGAAGACAAATACAATTTTCGCGGCGTATTCTCACGTATAACCTTAATCATGTCATCGACGCTACAAGGAGCGCTATGCGAAGGTCTGCTGGACAGCCACAATTCGTGCAGAACAACCAACACGTGACACAAAGCGGCCGCTTTGTTTCTGCATTGATCTGCATTCACAATGTCTCGAACAGAGTTAATTTTCGACTGTCTGCTGCACACGACGGCCGTCATCAATCGAATATTACGCAACGGCGTGATTTCCGGCGACCATAATTCGCGTAACAAATCGAGAGGAGTGAAAGGAAACGGCATTACTCCTCCTCCTCGTCCTCCTCCTCTTTAACCAACTCTTCGTTATTTTTATCACGATCTTCATTATCATCATCGATCGCCACTATTACCTCATCCTTCCTCTGCTTCTTTCTCTTTCTTTTTTTCGTATGATTTTCCTTTACATTGTCATCGTCATTATCATCAAACTTGATCGATCGCAATGCTCTCTCAACATCGGCTCGTTGCTGCTGTTTCTGAGTAACGACGGATCGCTGCGTATCAATACTCTTCTTCATATATTTGTTACGCGACAATTCGATCGACTCTCTACTCTCCATCGTTCTCTCTCTCTCTTTATCTCGTATCACCCCTCCCTCAGTCTACACTCCATGAAGAAAAAAACAACAAAATATTATACACGTCAGTCCGAAACGATACTTACGATACTTCTATTCACTCCGGCTGAAAAATAAGGAATATATATACCCCCTTTACCCGAAAACAGAAACAAATTATCTATTCTCTCTCTCTCTCTCTCTTTCTCTCTCTCTTTCTCTTTCTCGCAAACAGGAAACATTTTTCCCGCCAAAAACACGTCAATCGTTATATACACGAAACCATACATTCTGCGGCAAAACAATTTCCTTTTTATTTAATTCGCACTGTTCCTAATAAAGACATGTTTTTTTTTCTTTTACATATCGCATATCCCGCGGATATGAAATATATCATATCGAGATATCGCGCGTGGCGTCATCCGCATCCTGCGGATAAACCACAGGCTCACCGTCACTTTCTCCCAGTCACGAGGTGACTCCACACATACGATGCGCGCGTCATCGGACGCGCGCGTTTGTGTCACGGAGCGACACGGTAGACATCTCGCGGAGCGACACTGAACCCGGTCGCCGTGCGGGGTGCGGGGAGCGGGGAGGATTCAGTTCTTCTCCGCTTCCCGCACCCCGCCCGGCGCCCCATGGTTTGTAACACACATTGCTTAACTACTCCAGTAGCATTATATACACAAAGAGCGAGCTCCAAGAAAAGTCCTATATACTTCAAGAATTTCGGAATACATCAAGGCTATAC